CTCATTTATTTGTCCCCTGACTCAATCTTCCTGGTCTCACATGTTCTCCTCTCCTTCCCCTCTCTTTCTCCTAACTCCCTCTCCACTCACTGGCCCCTGCCACTCCCAATATTCTCAGGAGATCTTGTTCCTTTCCCCTTCTATGAGGGATCTTGTATTAATCTCTTAGGTTCCTCTTTGTATCCTAGTCGAGCAAGAAAAATTCTTAAGCCCAGGTCTCCAGCCCTGACTTTCTGATATTTAAGACATGGTCTTATACAGGCCCAGGCTGGCATCGAACATCAATTTATAATTCTTGTGTTTTCACTTTGCAAGCATTGGAATTACAGTCAGTTCTTCCTCTTATAGTTTATGGGGTGCTAGGTTTGGGGCTTACGCTTTCATGCATGCCTGTCAAGCATTCTACCTTTTTACATTGATTGTGTTCTGGGTACCACATCACATATGCAGAGGTCAGATGATGACTTGCAGGAAATCAAATTCAGGTTACCTGGCTTGGCAGTAAGCATCTTTACCCACCGAGCCACTTTAATGGTGTCTCCAGTCTCTTATTTGTACAGTCCAGTAGCTATGTGGGCCCAGTCCATCCTGGAACTTACTATCATTCTGTCTCTGCCTCCTGGGATCATATTCTCATCCTGGAGATCCTTTTCAAATTTTTTGTGCTCTGTGTGTGGTGACCCATGCCTTAAGTCTCCAGTCCCCAGGAGACATATGCAGGCGATTTATGAGTTTGAGGTCAACCTGGTTATGTAACATGTAGATAAGATTTTATCTTCAAAACAAAACAAAACACAAAACTCTTGTGCTTGAATCTTGTGACATTCTAGATAAGTGTTTCTCAACCTTTTAAATGCTGTGACCCTTTAGAACGGTTCCTCATGTTGTGGTGACCCCACAAACATAAAACGAATAAAATTATTTTCACTGCTACTTCATAACTATAATTTTGCTACTGCTATGAATTGAAATGTAAATATCTGTGTTTTCTGAAAGGTTGAGGAATGCTGGCCTGGATTAGATCTTTTGTTAGTCTTCTCTTGGGCCATATGTCCTTTGCTTGTTGACTTTCAGAAAGTTTTTGTATAGTCCAGATGTGTGTGTTGAGTGTAGACTTCTCTCAGTCTGTCATTTGAATTCTCACTTGGCCCATGGTATATCATTGGCAGTATTTCTTAATTTTCATGTGTACCTATTCTCTCCTCCTCCTCCCCCTCTTCCTCCTTAGAACATCAGGCTTCCGAAGGCTTTAGGCTAACACACACTTGGTTAAACTTCAAACTGTGCTGTTGATGTTTGGTTTTTCAAGACAGCATTTTACTGTGTACTCCTGGCTGTGCTGGGATTAGCTTTGTAGACCAGGCTGGCCTTGAACTCAAAAGATCTGCCTGCCTCTGCCTCCCAAGTACTGGGGTTAAAGGCATGCACCACCACCACTCTGAAAATCTCAAACTCTTAAAAGTTTCAAAATGTTGTGTCTGAGCCATGAAGATCCCCAGAGACCACCAGGGAGAGACAGACCCACTGATGCAAATGTTTAAGTTTTATTGTTCATCCAACCATGACAGTGACCTCATCTAGATGGCTGACACAGCAGCAACCAGCAAGATGTAGGCCCCCTGACTCAGCAGCATGTGCTGAGCCCTCAACCTTGCCCTAATCACTAGGAAGCAACTACCAGATATCTTCCATGTGGCAAGGAACCAATCAGAAGTTAGCTGGCTGGCTTTGGATATGCTCTACTGATAATAATGGAATGCAGTAGGTAGTAATACCCAGGCCCTTGGATGGCCTCCAAGCATAGCAACCTTTCTGCAGCTGCAGTTGACCAGTTTAGGGGTATGCTATATTCCTAATTTGGGTTGCAAAGGACCTAGTGAACTGTTCAGGAAGGTAGAAGAGCAAGAGTTTTTTTTTTTTTTTTAAATGAGGTGCTGAATAACATTGACGACCAAGAATGCATGTATGTGGCTCACTGGTTCTTTTTATCCTTCCTTTTTTTTTTTTTTTTTGTCTTCTTTTTCTCCTCCTTTCTTTCTCTTTCTTCTCTTAGCCACCCCCACCCACTGATGACAAAACTTAATTAGAATACCACCAACCATTCCAGGCCATGGAGAGAATGGAAATCCCTGAAGACTAAAGATGTGTAGTGTTATAAGAAGTGGCCATTTGTCCTCCATTTCCTGATAGTGTCAACCTGTTACTGTTATACCTAAGTCATGAAGATTCCCAAAGAGACCACCAGGGAGACAGACCCACTGATGCAAATGCATAAAGTTTACTGTTCATCCAACCATGTCAGGAACCTCATCAAGCTGGCTGATGAAGCAGCCATCAGAGGAATTGAGTTCTCTGTCTACTGTCAGGTTTTTAAAGGCAAACATCACAGGATTACATCAGTAGGTATGGGTTGGTTTCTGATTGTTTGAGATTTGGGGAACAATTGGGGGAATTTCTCAAAGTCATATTTTGGCATGAAATACCTGTGCACCAATTATTCTCATTGGTCAGTGCTGAGAGGGAACATTCTGTGGTTTCTATGGCTTTGTCTTGTTACTTGCAGGTGGCCTATTGTTTGTTCATAGATACCAATAGTTTTCAGACTCGTATCCTGGAGACTCTGGGGGAGGTTTTGGTCTCCCTTGGAGTTTCTTTTGTGGCTAAACAGTTCCCAGGAACCAAGCATCTAGGAGGCCAGGGGATCTGGAGTTTCTTTGTATCATGTGCTGAGTCAGAGGCCTATGTGTCTTTTCTGTAGTCTGTCATGGCTGCTAAATTAGGGGGCTGAATGAGGGTTTGGTCCATTTATTTCTCTCTAGTATGAATAATAAGAGTTGAATGGGAACTTAAGGCTTTGCCACATTTATACACCCCTCCAGTATGAATTATTAGAAGTGAAGCCTTTGAGTTTGGTTTACCCCTTTCAGTTACCTCTCCCATTGAGTGGTTATGATAGTAGCATATTATTTTATCAATTTCGATGGACTAAAGCACCCAATGATTTAATCAGATGCATTTATATGTGGCTGTCAAATGCTTTGTGACCCTCTGTGGTAGAGGCCATGCTCGGAATGCAAGATGCCCTGGATTCCTTTCTTGGTACTACAAAAAGAGATGATGACCTTGGTTACTGTGAATGAAAGGCCGTAAGAGCAAAAGCTGACTTACACAGTAAAGACAAAATTCTGCTCTGTGCATATAGACTCAGCATCTGTCTGAGTTTGTGCCTGGAGCCAGAGGCTCTACAGATTTTGGACTTTGTCTGTCAAATAACCACATGGACCAAGTCCTTAAAATAAACCTGCTATGATAGAAAGAAGCTAGGACCAGCACATGTGTATAATATTCCCATCTGGGAGGCTGAGGCATAAGGAGTTGAAATTTAAAGTGAACCTGGGCTATGTATCTCAAGATAAATGTGATACATATCTTCAGATAAATAGAATGTAGTTTAGTCAGAAATTGGTTGCTTAAACAAAATGCCCAGGACAGTTTATAAGGAGGAGGACTTTATTTTGGCTCATGGTTTTATGTCACAGTCAGCTGGTCCCATTGGTTTAGGTCTGTGGTGAAGCAGGGGTCCTTGGTGGGATGCCCAAAGAAAGAGCAAAGCTACTCAGCTCATGGTAGCTGGGAGGCAGAGAGATAAAAGTTAATGCCCAGGTCCTTAGGAAAGGGCTAGAGTTCCAATACTTGCTCCAAGGGCAACCCCCCCCCAAGTTTCCATCATCTCCAAACAGTCCCATCACCTATGGACAATGCCTTCAACACATGACCTTTGGGGGCGGGGACATTTAACACCCAACGCCAAACTAAAAATCAAATTATTTCATTACCACCTATAGCCTCCTACATATACACAAATAAATGTCACCACATAACCGAGATTCCTGCACACACGTTTATTGTGGCATCAAGTATAACAGTTGAATGATGGAATCAGCCTAGGTCAGTGGATGAATAAATGGACAAAAATGTGGTAATTATGTACAGTGAAGTATTCATGCACAAAGAATGTTGTTTGCAGAAAAATGTATGGAACTAGAGGAAGTCAACAAATATTACGTGTTGGATGAATCTAAATAGGAGACGATATGAAAACAGGAGTAAGATTTTTAAGGAAGAGAAATATCAGGTGCAGGGATTTTTAAAACGCTAACCAGAGTGAACACGATCAAAGTTATTTTGTAGAGGGATTTTAAAAGAATCAGTGTAGCTTTGCTATATCTTGACTCTTTCTGGCTTACTCTGATTGAGGAGCAAAGGATTTAGAATGGGATATATTTCGTAGGGATGTTGTGACACTATTTCTATGTGAAAAAAAAAAAAAAAACAGGAAGACCTCACTGAGCATAAGAGGCAGCGAATGGGGCTGGAGAGTTGGTGGTTAAGATAGTGAGGACTGGAGTTTGGATCCCAGCACTCAAGTTAGAGGTCCCCTGTACGCGCCTGAAACCCTCACACAAGAGGATCGCTAGAATGAAAAAACCCTGCCTCAAAGGAAAAGCGAGGGGACATCTGGCGCCCTCTTGTGGCCTCAGTGAACAATCGCGAGCGCACACTCTGAAACATAAGTAAAAATAAAAAAATCAATAAATCTTTCAGAAACACTGTCTCGAAAAACCAAAAACCAAACAGAAGCCCTGGATGTGTGCTGGGGGATGAGAGGACAGTCTCATTATATAGCTGTCTGGCTTGGCACTCACGATGTAGACAAAGCTAGCAGGGAACTTACAGATTTCCTCTGCTTACCGAATGCTGGCATTAAAAATATGCACCACCACAACCGGCCTGAGATGTGTTTTTAAATGTGATAACCCTCCAGGATGAACCAAGTTTGTTCCAGAGAAAAAGTCTGAGCCAAGGCCAGTCTGTTGTTGCAATTTATACTTACAGAGCCATTTGGATGGTAAATATTGCTGGACCCGCAAACTCAGTTCTTTAGGAGTTGGGTTCGGTATTATTCACCCATCAGAGACACTGTTACTCCCCCGTACTAACCAATGAGGAGCACGGATAGTGGAAGGTGGCGCCCTTGCCGCCATATTTGAGTTCCGGGTAGCGGAAGGGAGGAGAGTTGTCTCTGTGCTTCCTGACTGCCGGCTTCTTAGTCGGGGACGCCTGGATGTATCAGAAGCAGGAAATGGTGAGTGCGCCCCGGGCCTCTGGAATGGTCCGCGGCGGCTTTATGACACTGCTGCGGCTTTGCTGCAATGTGGCTCTAGCTCCCCGATGTTCCCTGGCGCTGTGCAGCCGAGTCCGAGGTGGAGTCTGGCGCTGGAGCCCTCATCCCCAGTGCACTTGAACTGTGTGCAAAGCAGGCAGCGGGCAGTCGGGAGTCTGGCGTCCAGTCCAGTCCTGTCCCTTTCCTGTGAAGCTGCTTCATTCCCAGTCCCTAGTCCTCCCGTGGTGAGTCTGCGCCGCGAACCTGCGCCTCCGCAGACAGTGCAGCTCTGGCCAGACCCTGCTGTGAAGGCACACAGTGCTGTGCGCTGTTTTGCACTTTTTTTCATTTCCTTGTTTCCTGCTTTAGTTTTACACGGTGATCATCCCAGAGAGTTGGTTTTCTTTTCTTCTTTTTTTTTTTTTCCCCCTTTAAAGGTCGTCTTTTTCTTCATTTTAAGTACTAGGGATCGAACCTCAGTCAATCAGGCTAGGCGAATGCCTTACCGTATCCCTCGTCCCGGGTTTGTTTTCTGTGAATACAACTGGATTTGTGTAGCTGTCACTGACTCTGTGTAGGCAAAAAACCCTAACTTGGAGAAAAGAGAGAAATATAAATTTACTTTAAAATTACTTATTTGTATTAATCGGTCAAGCTGACCATTTCTGAGGCAGAATGTGAGGTTTTGAAAAGCCTTTCCAGCCTTGATAGCGCTGAAAAAAAGCCCAGGGAGGGGAGGGATTATGTAATCCTTTTTTATACAGAGTTTATCTGTATAGCGCTGGCTGGTCTGCAACTAGCTATGTCGGTCAAGCTAGCTCTAGGCCATTTCTCCAAATGTAGTGTGGGTGAGGGGGTTTCTTTTATCCCAAATGGAGGTGGAGACAGGCCTATCTCAGAGCTCGTGGCTAGCCAGGGCTACACGGTGAAACCTTGTTTCATGTAACCAAAATGAACAAACAACAACAAACACCAAACAAAGCTCCACCAAGAGTGTAGTTCTTGGGGAAAATATTAATATCCTTCCTATTTTCTTAATAGTCTTTATAGACAGTGTAATTTCTTTGTTATTTTTTAAATTAAGAACATTTTAAATGAATGCATATAAATATGTATGTCTCTCTGTGTGAGTATATGCTGTGTAAGTGCTGCCTGTGTGAGGGTTTCTGCTGAGGCCCGGCGAGGGCGTGGATCTCCTGGAACTGGTTTTGCAGGCAGTTGTCAGTAGCGCTTGTGGATGCTGGGAACTGAATTGGGTCCTCTGGAAGGACAATATGTACTCATAATTGCTAAGTGATCTCTCCAACTCTGGACAGTTGTCATTTCTGACCATTGAGAAAATCTGGGTTAGTTAGTCAGAAAGAAAGAAGTGTTTGTTTTCTATCTGCTATAGAAAGTTTATTTTAGTGTTTAGAGCATTTTTGTTATTCCAGTTAAGTTCTGATGTATCCAACACTGTTAGTGTCCCAATGACCCTCCCCTCCAAAAAAAAAAAAAAAAAGTCAACAGTCACATATGCAATAAACAAGAGTGCTTTATTCTAACATGTTGGGGTGGTACATGGCAACCCCCAAAGAAGGTCACAAGCTTCTTTTAAGCAGAGTTAAGGGAATTCCAGGGAGGAGGAATTAATCTAGAGTGTAGGAAAGATTAGTCTGGGACCTGATTTGGATGCTTAGTGGTTAGGAACTTTTCAGTGGCAGGTTAGGGAAAGCTATCTTTAGTTATCAGGACTGTGGTCATCTATGGACGCCTATTGATTGATTGCCTGAGAGTTGGTTCCAACAGAGAGCTGTTTGCTCTGCTCCAGCCTCCAGTAAACTGAAACCAAGGCCTGGTCCCTGGCAGGCCAGTAGAAACCTGTCATGACTCTGGTCTGGCTCCCTGGCCCTCTCACTGAGCTTCCTGCCTCTTATCTCTCAAGTGCCAGGAATACCGGAGTGTACCAACAAGGCACGTTAGGCAACACCTGGAACCCAGGGTTTTGTCTGTCCTAGACAAGCACTCTACCAATTGAGCTACATCTGCAGCCTTGCAGTACAATTTAGAAGTTGAACCTTTTCTCAGATTCTAACAGGAAATCCTAAACTATCAGCAGACAGGCAGGTGTGTGTGAGTTAGTGCGAAACTCATGGGGTTACTAAAGGCCAAGCCAGTCACTAATTATTATTATTAACTAACACATCTGCTTGAGTTGATTTATTGATTTGAATGGTATACTATTTCTCCATGACCTCATGTGTTTGCTCACTTAATTTACAGTAGATGGTGTTGTTTGATAGGCTCCGGACCCTTTAGGAAGCAGAGTGCATAGGGATGACTAGAGGCAGAATGGCCAGTCCTTGAAGTTTTATGGCATGGCCTGCATTCCTGACCTCTCTTTGTTTCCTGACTATAGATGTAATTAATGAGGCCCATTGCATGCTGGTGCTATCATGCTTTTCTCTCTTTAACTGTGAGCCAAAAGAAATCCTTAAATTTTTTTTTTTAATTTTTATTTACCATATGCCATAGTGCCCTTGTGGAGATCAAGCAATCAAGCATCAACTTGCAGGAGTCAGTTCTGTGCCTTTATCATCTGGCACCCGAGGGTCATATTCAGGTTGTTAGCCTTGTTATAAAATATCTTGTCAACCCCTCTCTTTAAGTTGGTTTTGCCAGCTATTTTGTTATGATGATGAGAAAAATAATAAAACAGGTACTAAAGAGTGTTCAATTACCATAACAAACTTGGTCACCTGGTTCTTAGGCTTTAGAGCTGGTTTGTGGGAGGAATATTTTGTGGGTTTTTTTGTTTGTTTGTTTGTTTTTCCCCACTATGCAATGTATAAATAAATGCTTATTGTCTCCAACCACAGGACAAATGATTCCATGTGGAATAATTTAGTAAACTAGTTAGTTTACAAGGTTACTTACAGGGTAACAGGGGTAACTCAATAGCAGCAGATACACCAAAAGCTCATCCTAGCCTACTGATGGATCCTGAAAGCTATATTCCTGAAACTTCCTAAAGAACATTCAGGAAATTATTTGTTGAAGTGTCTCAGGTCCCCAATAATTGTTTTTGCTTATGGGATGACCTTAGGGAGGAATATTATGGGTCTTGTAAGTTTTAGGAGCTTCCTGAAACTAACAGGCATCCCTCCTCTTTGCAGGAGGGACTTTTAGAAATAGGAAATGGCTCCCAAGAAATGTTGAAGCATTTGATGCTGCTGGCTAGAGAAGCCCTAAAATGCTGCCAAGAAGAGTTTCGTGGGCCATCTGGTGGAAATATAGAATGTTAACATGCCAAGAAAAATGACACACTAAGAGACCCAGCTCAGAGGGAACAAGGACTATTAGGAAGTAGGTCAGAGACCATTCATGTAGCTGTGCTTAAAAGAAATATGTAGCTATATGGTTGTGTTCTAATAAATTGATTGGGGGCTAACTTTAAAGGTAACAAATCAGTTTGTGTGGTAGAGGAAATTTGAAGACAGGATAGTAGTATTTGGGTTGTCATGGTTGTTGCTTCTTATATAGTGGGAGTCAAGGCAATGCTGACTTTGTAGAATGATTTTGTTTCCTTTCTATTTTATGCAACCATTTGAAGAACATTATGATTAGATCTTTAAAGCTTTTGTAGATTTTGGCAGCTACTCTGTATGGTACTGGACTTTGTCTCAGGCATGCTAGTGTAACTGCTATAGTCTTATTGCTTATGGACGTGTTTAGATTGTTATTTTCTTGATTCTGTTTGGTATGTCATTGTTATCTGATGTTCCTCTGCCTTTTACTGGAATTTTTATAACTTTCCCTATTTCATCTCCCTTTTTGTTAATTTGTGCCCTTTATGTTGGATTTTTCTAAGTGCTTGCAAATCTCTCTCTTTCTGTCTGTAAAACAGCTGTTTGGTTTATAATATTCTTTTGGTGTTCATTTCATACTTTCTCACTTGATCTTTATTATTTCTTGTTGTGTCCTTTGGATCGGGCTTATTCTTATTTTTCTAAGGTCATGTGTTTGCATCATTAAGCTATTTAAATCTCAATCTCTCTCTCTCTCTCTCTCTCTCTCTCTCTCTCTCTCTCTCTCTCTCTCTCTCTCTGGCAGGGTTTCTCTGTCTAGTAGCTGTCCTGGAACTTGTTCTGTAGATCAGGCTGTTCTCAACTCAGAGATCCTCTTATATTGCATTGGGTGTATTGCAAAAATCATGGCAAGTTTTGCTTTTATATTCATTTTATTCTAACAATTTAAAAATTTACTCTCTGATATTTTTAGTTTTATTTCTCTGATTTATTTTATAAAATATATTATTTCAATTTTTTTTAATATCCTTGCATATGGTCTGCTTTAGAGTAGGTTCCATAGGCTCCTGAAAAGAATACATTCTGATCTCTTAGATGTTTTATATCAGTTACATCCATTTAATCAGTAATTTAACTACCATGTATATTTGTAAAATTTTAGTTTGGATGTTTGAAGGATGACAGTGGGCTACTGAATTTTCCTCCTGTTACTGTATAAAGACATAGCTGACCTATATCAGTTAGTATTTGTTTTTGAAATTGGGAGGTTGAACAATTGGCATATATATGTTTACATCCTTAAAACAATTCATTTATTTATTCATTCATTCATCCATTTGTTTATTGTACATTGTTGTTTTGCCTGTGTAAGGGTGTTGGGTCCCCTGGAACTGTACAGTTGTGAGCTGATTTGTGGGTGCTGGGAATTGAACCTTGTTCCTCAGGGAAAAAGGTTAGCCTTGGGCTATCCAACTCATAGATTTACATTTTTAGTTTTTATTAATTATATTCTTTATTAATATGTAGTGAGATTTTTATATCTTCTGATTTTGCTTTTAATGTCTATTTTATCAGAGAACAAAATATGCCAGCTTGACTTACATTTCCATTCACTGGATAGGTTGACCACCATCTTTTTACTTTCCTACTGTGGGTGTCTTTATCAATGAAGTATGTTTCTTAGACACATTAGACAGTTAGATCTGTATTTTTCTCATTAAAAATTTTCAAAGATTTATGTTCATGAATATTTTCTATGCACATATGTATGTGCACCACCTGTTTGCCTGGTGCCACAGAGGTCAGAATAGAGTTCAGATACCATGGAATTGGAGTTAATGGGGCATTGTTAACCATCACGTGGATTCTGGGAACCCAACCCAGTCCTCTGGAAGAGCAGCAAGTGCTCTTAACTACTAAGCCTCTCTCCATCCTCCAAAAAACTTTCGATGTTGCTGGGGGTGGGGTGGGGGATGTAGCATACATCTTTAATCCCAGCACTCTGGAGGCAGAAGCAGGGGGTTCTTTGTGAGTTCAAGGCCAGCCTTATCTACCGAGTGAGATCTACACAACACAGTGAAACCCTATCTTAAAAAAGTAGAAAATAAAACTTAATGTCTATGGGTGTTTTGTCTGTAAGTATGTTTCTATGTGCACCACTTGTATGCCTGGTGCCCATGGACCCAGAAGAGGGCATAGAATCCCCTGGAATTGGAGTTAGAGACAGTTGTGAGTCACCATGTACATTAGATTGTGATTGATAGAGAAAAGAAAGGTAGGCATCTCCAGGAGTAGAATTGCTCCTTTTCTTTTTTCCTGTTTTGGTTTTTCATGACAGGGTTTCTCTGTGAAGCCCTTGACTTGGCTGTCCTTCTGGAAACTTGCTTTGTAGACCAGGATGGCCTCAACTCAGAGAGATTGGCTTGCCTCTACCTCACTCGTGCTAGGATTAAGGGTGTGCACCACCACCACTCAGCCAGAATTGTTCTTTTAATCAGAACAGTTGAAAGGCACAGTTTCTGCAGTAGTGGAGACTGTTGTAATTTTTAAAAAGCTGCTTGAGAAAGACTCCATTCGACAGAGTTCAAACAGAGGGGTTTTTTATTAAGGGAAAAGGATCACAAAAAGGGGAATGGGGAAGGGGAGACCAGTCTCTGGGGACAGGAGCAGTGGGAGAGAGGAAAGAGGGAAGGGGGGGGGGGGAGAGAAAGAGCAGGATGGGAGGTGGGTAGTGCCCTTTTAAAAGGGAACATAATGAATAGGCACAGGTGGTGGTTCTTAGTGGCAACAGCTGAGGGTGTATCTTGTCAGAACTCCAAAGGCAGGCCAGTACAAATGCCTAAATACTAACAGTGTCCATGTGGCACGGGGTTGGGGTGGTATAGGGAGGAATAGGGTTGAAATGGAAGATTTCATCTGCAGATCAGTTCCTCATAAGTCTCAAAGTGGCAGATAACCAACAGGGGAGGGGGCAGCTTTCCTGTCCAGAGCTTCTTGGGCTTTTATGTCATTAACCCTTACATACGGGTTCTGGGATTTGAACCTGGGTCTTCTGGAAGAGTGGCAAGTGCTCTTAACCCAGATCTTTTTATTTATTATTTTTAAATATGTATTTATTTTTATTATGTATTTGTGTGTGTGTCTTCATGTGTGAGAGGGTGCCCAAGGAGTTCTGGCATGACAGTTGGTCTGTAATAGCAGTGCACACTCATTAAGTGTTAAGCTAGCTCTTCAGTCCCTAATTTAAAAAAGTTTATTTTTAATGTATGTGTTTTGCCTGTATGTATGTATATCACTTGTGTCTGATGTCCTGAGAAGCCTGAAGATGGTGTTGAATCTTCAGAAACTGGACATAACAGATGGTTGCTGATTGCCATGTGGGTACTGGGAGCTGAAGCCCAGTCATTTGCAAGCCAGTACTTTTAACTGAGCCTCCTCTCTAGGCCTTGGACTATTTGAAGAATAAAGCATGAAGTAAACTAATCATGTGACTATGTATCACCTATGTTTTTTCACTACTCTTCCTGTAAATGTATGTGGATTATTTTAGGAGCCAGTGACCTTTGAGGATGTGGCTGTGAACTTTACTCTAGGAGAGTGGACTATGTTGGATTCCAGCCAAAAGAAGCTCTACAGAGATGTGATGAAGGAAACATTTTTGAACCTGATCTCCATAGGTAAAGACAAAACCACTTGGATTCCTTTACTTTAATCATAACAGTCATTTCTTGTTAATCTGTGTAGTTCCATGATTTTAAAAAGTGAAAGAACAGTGTTGTCCTGTGTCACATCCTTGGCCATACTATAAAAGAAAAATATAATTTTGAGTAAGTCTTTACATAATTTCTTTGGGTGTACTTGTAGGGAAAACAGAAGAAGATATTGAAGAGGAGTACCAGAAGCCAAAGGGAAACCTGAGGTAATTTACTGTCACAAAAAGAAATGCATCAAGTATCTGGTGGTGACGGGAAATCTGAGAACCTCTGGAGCACTTAGAATACTGAAAGATCCATAATGTTATATGATATTTTCCTATGATTCATTATGTAACTTTCCTTTATGCACAAAATTTCAGAATATTAATCAAGTTATACTTAGGCTTGACTAAAAGGGGTGTGTAAAGTAAAGTGAATTTTGGGTTAGATTGAGACCCATCTTTATTAAATCATGTGAACAATTATTCATTTATTTCAAATACCATAATGAAAGCCATTTTGCTTTATGAATGTTCAGCTGCTATCTGTGGCTTAGTGCCATATATGATTAATGCCTGAAAGATTACAGAGCCTTGTTTGATTGTATGCTATCATCAGGACCTCTGGCTAAATATTTAGCCCTTTAATGTTCATGATGATTCTCTTTTTTAAAACGTGTATTTGTTTTTGTGTCAGTGTGCATTGGTGCATGCATGCACACGGGAATGGGTTTTCTCCTTCCGTGCAGATCCCAGGGATCAAACTCGAGTCTTCAGACTTGCCAACAGATGCCGTTACCTACTGGGCCATCTCACCTCCCCAACGTTTATACGTTCTTAGGGAAATAAAGTCAATACTCTTATTTCTTTCCTTGGGAAAGGGTTTAACTGTGTGGTACAGTTGGGCCTTAAACAGGCTTTCCTGTTGCTACTACCTCTTAATATACTTAGTATTTCCCTTTTCACTTTTTGCAGAACTCTGGTGGTTGAGAGACTCTGTAAATATGATCATGGTGGTCAGAATGGAGAAACCTATCGACAGAGTCCAGAGCATATTGTGAATGAAAAAATGTCTCCTGCAATAACTGAGTGTGAAAGAGACATGGTTACTTATTTACCCTCAGATGCACACTTCAAAGGTCAAACTGGAGAGAAACCATGCCAGTACCAGGAACATATGGAGAAGGCTTTTAAATATAAGAAATGTTGGAAGGATTTCAGTTATTCTGAGTTGCTTCGGATGCATAAAAGCCCTTCTATGAGACAGAAACCCTGTGAAAACAGACAATCTAATGAAGCCTGTAGGAGTTTCACTTCTGATCATGATTATGAGGGAACTTACACTGAAGAGAAATCATATGTTTGTAAACAATGTGGGAAAGCATGGAGTGATTCCTGTAGCCTTCTCTGGCATGAAAAAAGTCACATTCAAGAGAAACGCCACACATGTAAACAATGTGGAAAAGCATTTAGTCGTCCCTCACAGCTTCACAAACATGAAAGAATTCACACTGGTGAGAAACCCTATGTATGTACACATTGTGGAAAAGCCTTTATTGATCGCAGAACCTGTTACAATCATGAGAGAACTCACACTGGAGTAAAACCGTATGCTTGTAAACAATGTGGGAAAGCCTTTCTTCGTTCCTGCCAACTTCTCATCCATGAAAGAATTCATACTGGAGAGAGACCTTTTGTATGTAAACATTGTGGCAAAGCTTTCACCTACTCCAGTGCTTGTTATTATCATGAAAGAATTCACACTGGAGAGAAACCCTGTGTTTGTAAGCAATGTGGGAAAGCATTTAAATGTTCTGCCTACCTACACATACATGAAAGATCTCACAGTGGAGAAAAACCCTATGTATGTAAGCATTGTGGAAAAGCCTTTGCGTATGCCACTGGATGTCACAAGCACGAGAGAATCCACTCTGGAGAGAAACCATATATGTGTGTGCAGTGTGGAAAGCTATTCAGTTTCCCCAGATCCCTTCACATACATGAAAGATCTCACAGTGGAGAAAAGCCCTATGTATGTAAGCAGTGTGGGAAGTCTTTCAGTCAGGGAACTTCTTTGAGAAGACATGAACGAATTCACACTGGAGAGAAACCATATGTATGTAGGCAATGTGGGAAAGCCTTCATCCAACGTGATGATTGTTACAGTCATGAACGAACTCACACTGGAGAGAAACCATACATGTGTGTCCAATGTGGGAAGACTTTCACTTTTTCCAAATCCCTTCAAATACATGAAAAAAATCACACTGGAGAAAAACCCTATATATGTAAGCAGTGTGGGAAAGCATTTACCTGTTCCACATACCTTCTCAGACATGAAAGAACTCACAGTGAAAAACTCAGTGGATAATATTCCTGCCAGTGTAAATTGTGGGGACGTCTGACATCTACTTTTGAGGTGTGAAAGAAGAAAGTGGAGAGATACCACTACATTATGAGAACTGCAGAAGTATAATTTTGGTCCTTGTGTGCAGATTTCCGTAAGATGAGAACCTGTACACCAAGTGTGCTGCCACATGCCTTTCATTCCAGCATCGAGGAAATAGAGGCTAGACAATTACAGTATTAAATGAAGCCTGTGCTATTTACTGGGCTTGAACACAGCTTGGGAGGATTAAGAACCAACTCCAACTAAATGTGTAAATATAAGAAAGTTGTGTATTTATCAATAAGATAAAATTTATAAAAATTTCTCTTGTGGTTGAGTCCAAAAGAAATGTGAAGATATTGAAGATTAATTTGTGTTGAATATTTCTTAAAATAAACCACATGAAAGAGATATAGTAAGTTCTGAGTGTTTTTTAAAAACTTGATCATTTACATAAGTATGTTCTATTTTGATGAGCTTATGATGTCATGTGTCTCAATACAAAGAACATGTATACCAAAGTAACTCACCAAAATAGCTATTAAAATGTTCGTCCAATTCATGATATTGCATATGCCTTTGCATAATTTTCCTTTCTTATTACATGAAATTAGTAATAAACAATTTGGAAAAGGTAAGCCACAATAAATTCCTCTTGTGAAAAATTGACTGTTAGCTGCCCTGGTGTCTGTTGTGCTTAGACTTCTTACACCAGGCCCAATGTGCAGTTTAGTGCCATTTGGGACAAATTACTCACTACTCTATCTGTTTTATCTATCAATTGGACAAACATTCTGGACCTGAATGAGGAAAGCATTTTTGTTTGTAGGTATGTTGCCTGCACCATATTGTGGTTAAATAAGGATCAGGATAAACAAATTTATATCCCACTACAGCACTATGTTTGTGCAGTGCTTGTGGATTCCAGAAGAACGTGCTGGTACTGAAAGTGCGAATTGTTATGAGTTGTCATGGGTGCAGGGAATCCTAACCCTGGACCTCCAGAAGAGCAGCCAGGGCTTTTAACTGCTGAACCATCTCTCCAGCCCCAAGGAAAGTATTTTTTAAATGTAATGTTGCTGCCTTTAAGGAAGAAGTGGCAGAAGCTGAAGCTATTAAATGTGCTTGGAATAAAAGAAGTCAATCTAGTAACATTGTAGCTGTATTATTTTTAATCATTGTTCTATTCTCAAACAAAACATCTTGACTTTTCACCATTATTATTATTTTGCCTTTTAAAATATGGTTGGCAAGTAATTTTAGCCTAATTTTGCTTGCCTGTGATCCTGCTCTCCATAGAATGCCAAAATAGGAGAATAGCTTTAAAGCTATTAATTAAAGACCAGTAAGACACTGTTTGAAAGAGTGTCAACAGAAGATGTATAAACTATTTGCACTGAGGCGATGTAAGTCTAAGGTTGGTAATGTAATGTATTCATACAGACATCTATAAATAAATTATATAAGCAGATACTGACTAGTCCATCATGTTTCATGTCAATGGAAATACATAAACTGTTTCTTGTCTAATGGGTCTGAAGAGGAAGGAGCCTCAGTGTACATTTGTAGTCATTCTTTGAGAATCCTGATCACACTGGCCCATTTGTGTATTAGGTTGTATGATTTGTTAATTCTTTTTTTCTGTATCTTTTACATCCTAATTCTGTCACTTCATGGTTGGCTAGCAAAGGCATTTTCCTATTCTGTAGGCTGTTAGCTGTCTTTTCACACAGTTCCTTTTGCTATGCTGCAGCTTTTTTATTTCATTCAGTCCTGCCTGTCAACACGTGCCATTATTTCCTAGGTTCTCCCCCACCCCAAATGTCCTTGTTTATAAACTTATCTTGAAATGCTTTATTTTTTTGTTGTTTTCCCTCTAAAGTTTGTGGAATTCCAGATTTTACATTAAGATGTTCAACTCATTTAGAATTAATTATTTTATGCAGAGAGACAAGTTCTTATTCATTCTAAATGTGGATAGATATCCAATTTGGTAGCATCAGCTTTTGGAGGATACTGTCTTTTCTCTATTGTATGTTTGCAGCATCCTTGCCAAAGATGGGTGGCTCTAGCTGCATAAGTTTACATATGGGTCCTCTTCCATGGATTCATGTTTCCATTTGTTTTTGTCACTGGCTCAGTGGTAGAACAGGGAATCAGGCATGGAAATAACATGAACATTTTTTTCTCAGAATTGCTTTGGTTAGTTATATTCCTTAATGCTTCCACATATAGTTTAGAATTTTATTTTCTATTTTTTAAATTAATTTTTTGTTTACTTTTCAAGACAGTGTTTCTCTGTGTTATAACCTTAGTTGTCCTGCAACTCAATTTGTAGACTAGGCTAGCCTTGAACATACCAAGATCCACCTGCCTCAGCCCCCTAAGTGCTGGGATTAAAGTTGTGCACCACCACCACCAAGCTGGATTTTTGGTTTTCCATATAAAGAATGCATGGAACCTAAAAGTTTGCTTTTGGAATTACAGCCATCTTCACATTAATTATGCCAGGGAGTTCTTTCCCTTTTGATGTATTTCTCTTGAGAAATTTCCAGTACTAATGACTTTGTCTTTACATGTGACTGTTTTTTTCAAGGTGCTTTCACCATTATTGATTTTTTAAATTATTTTTATACGTTTTAAATATAGTATATATAGGTGTTTCCCCATCTTTTCAGTTTGTATCCTAAATATTTTCTGAGTTAGAAGAGTAGTCTCTTCCTATATTTAGGTAATTTCCTGCTACAGTTCCATTGAGTATGTGATTTTTCACCATTGCTTGATGTTTCCCATCTTCATGCTTCATAAATTAGTCTATTTTGGATGGGAGTTGATCTTACATGCTCTGTTCATCTTTGTTTTGTTTTCTCTTCATCAGTGCCTGAATGTTCTCATTCATGTTTGTCTTTCAATGTTGGTGCCGTTTTCTACTTGATCTATATTATGTTTGTAGGTTTTTAAATTTTCCTTAATTAGGTTTGTTTCCTTTTAAAAAAGCCATACAGAGATAATTTTATTTTATTAATTTTACATACCAACCAGAGTTCCCTCTCCTTTTTTTCCTTCTGCTCCCCTCCCCCAATCCACTCCAAACAAAGGGTAGTGCCTCCCATGGGGAGTCAACAAAGCCTGGCACATTAAGTTAAGGCAGGACCAAGCCCCTTTTGCCTCCATCAAGGCTGAACATGGTATCCCACCATAGGGTTGTTTTCTTTTCTTTCTTTCTTTCTTTTTTCTTTTTTTTGTTTAAGATATATCTATCTTATGTATTTGATTGCCCTATTTGCAAATAGAGCCTGCACACCTGAAGAGGGCATCAAATCCTATTCTAGAAGGTTGTGAGCCACCATGTGGTCACTGGGAACTCAAGACCACTAGAACAGCAGCCAGTGTTCTTAACAGCTGAGCCATCTCTCCAGCCTCTAGGTTTGTTTCTTTATTTGTGCTTATATGTGGGTGTGAGTGTGCCACTATGGATTTGTGGAAGTCAGAGAAATCAGTTCTTTCCTTCTACTCTATGGGTCCTAGGCTTCAAACTCAGATCATCAGGCTGAAGTCTTGAGTTGTGATTCTCCATACCACTCCAACTGCAGAAGCAACCACGATTGCTGGGAAGAGTCACATTAGAAAACAGTAGTGCAGCCAGATGTAGTGGCACATGTCTTTAATCCAGCATTCAGGATGCAGAAGTAGGCAGCTCTCTGAGTTCAATGTCAGCTTTGTTTACATAGTGAGTTCCATGCCAGCCAGGGTTATATAGTGACTCTCCATTTCAAACAACCACAAAAACTGCTGCCTTTAAGTCCTGTTTATATTGGAAGAAGGATGATATGATTTATACTAAGTTGAGATGTGGAAAGGAAGTAGATCAACTGAGAGCATAAAGGCTGATAAATTTGATTAAAAAAAAAAAGGAACAGGAGAGGCACAGTGTTGATGGAGTTTTCTTGTTCTACCTGGTCCCACAACCACTTTTCTCAGCCCCAAATAAATACACAAAGACTTACATTAATTATAAAAAATGTTAGCCAATGGCTAGGGCTTTTTATTGGCTAGTTCTGTCTTAATTAGTAACTTGTTTCTATTAATCTAAGTATTTCCACATGGTCTTACCAGAAAAGGGTCTGGACGTGTTACTTTCTCCACTACATGGTGTCTCCCTCTGTAGTGTCTCTCTGCCCACCTTTCTCAGAATTCTCCTTGTCTTCTAGTCCTACCTATCTTCCAGCCTCTATTAGCCAAACAGTGTTTTATTCATGCACCAATAAGGGAAACAAATACAAAGGAACATTCCCCATCATCTCAGTTCTACAGAGGTAAGACTTATTAAGGACATGGAGAGTTACAGTTGAGAAGTAAAACTGAATGAAGGATGGAGAGAACATGACCTAGGAACAAGAGGGAGAGTATATGGTTTGTGTGGGGAAGAATAGTAGAAAGTATGTCACTGAATGAGCACAGAAACATACCAAAACACCTCATTGAAAAGTAGAAAAGCTAAAAGAAGACTGTTCAGAGATTCATACAAGACTAAAGATTACAAAATTAATTATAGACTGGACATGATGGTGTACAACTTTAGTCTCCGCATTGAGAGGAAGAGGCAAGCAGGTCTCCGAATTTAAGGCTAACCCAGTCCATATAGTTCCAAGCTAGCCACATTGTGAGACTGTCTCATTAGAAACACTGAAGTGCAATTTTAAAAGGTAAAATTAGTTAAAACATATATTTTGTATGTAAGACTCCCCTCCTGGTGCTATTTCATGTAGAAATCCATGCTGTGGAAGTGTGGTTCAGCACTACAATTCAAACCTTCAGAAGCAGCTTGTGGCTATGCAGTATCCAATGGAGTTGAAACAATTTGCCTCTTGGATTAGTCTAGCCCATCTGTTCAGAGTTCAGCTTTGTATTTTTCAGTTCCCATAGTGCCCAGGCATTTTGAGATTCTTCAGGAGAATACCCACAGGTGATCAGCTCCAGG